CGTCCCAGCGATCCGCTGTTCGTGAGCAGTCCCCGTGTTCAGAGTTTTGAGTCCCGTCGAGGCTCCGTTCGTCCTATCCCGTTCTGACCCGTTTTTCCGATTTCTCGTGTATTCTCAAAAACGGGTAATTTATTTCGACCTTCCTGCTATAATTTTCGTGTTATCAGGTTGCTGGAAAGATTTGCTGAATCGATTATCGTATATTGATTCGGTTCGTTTTGTTCGTCGTATTTGGGTTTCGTGAATTAGTCGTGTGAATTGGGACTCTCGTTTGTATAAATCGAACCCCCTTGTGTTGCTGCGAGAAATACGTTTAATTTCGGAGTCCCGTTTCGTTGCTTCGGTGTCTCGTTGTATTATTTCGAGTCTTGAATGTCATTTTGATTAATCGTACAAAAACCCGATTTTTACAAGCATTTCGAACTCTTAAAATACGTTTAATTCATTAATGTTTGAAATTCCCGAACCCCGGTTGTCATTGGAGTAGTCGTCGTCAATTTTCGGTCGAGTTTTGGTCCAAGACGATAGATTTTCGCGAGCCTCTGCATTTTTATTCCCAGCTCTGCACTCTGTTGTTTCAGGTCCCAGACTTAAAGTTTGATTAATGTAAATAAAGTTTTCATTGTATAATGCAAATAGACGTGTGGCGCAGTGGCGCTGCGTCCTTGTTTCTGCGGTGGAGGTCGTGGGTTCGAGTCTGCTAGTACCCATTTTTATATTTTTTTGTTTTGTTGATTCCTTGGTTCCAGCAGAGTGGGCTGAAGCCCGCTCCAGCCTGTGCGCGCGGCCCAGTTCAGACAACAACTTCAGCCCGCGTCTGGCCCTCCTTCAGCCCGCGTGTGCTCAGCCCATATGAGCGTTGGGCCAGACCCATGTTTAGGCCCAATTTCTTTTAATGCAGCCCAGATATTTTAATTGGCACCCTAAGTTGACTTTTAAGCCTATTTTGAGTTCCGGAAGCCCGTTTTAATATCGAATTTGATTTTAAAAATTATTTTCAAAGTAGAAAAATTTTTGGAAAAATTATTTCAAGTTCCGAGACCCCAATTTATTTCTCCGAGTCATATTTTTCAAAATTGAGAGAGTTCCAAGTCCACGAAAAATCCGATTAAAACTCGTAAATCTTAATTTTTATTAAGTATGGGTTTTATGTTAAATTCGAGTAGTGAGATAAATTAATGATAAATTATCTCGCTTAAATGTAGGTGTTTGAGGAGTCGAGCCTCATCCTACGTGCTTGCTTTTGTGTGCCATTTTCTACCGGAATTTCCAGGTGGGTTGTAATTGTAAAATTTACTATGCCTTAAATGTTATTACTGTTTTAATTGTGGTATGATCAAAGTATGCATGTGAATCATGTAGCCTTCGGTGTGAGCTGTATCGGCCACCGGACGGTTGTCCTTGTAGCTATAGAACGTACCTTCGGGTAGTCTCCCTTGAGAAGTTGTAAGACCAGGGCTTAGGTCCCTCGGCCGGTGATTTTCATTTGTAAGTCCAAGGCAAGACCTTGGCCGGTGGGGTGGTGTACTCCTACTGGATGGCACTCGATGTAGGACCGGAGGGCATTCGATATATAGTCAGCAGTAGTCTATGCGTAGGTGTGCACATGAGTCTGATTATTGCGATTATTGATGGGAGAATGGGATAGATTATTGCTTCGTATACATGCTGAGACCATACCTTTTGAGTATTGATTACTGTTAATTATTGACATTAACATTTATGGCATAGCGGTGAGCACTACTGTTTCCTTTGTGCTCATCCCCACCTGCTCTTCATGGATGCAGGTTAGATAGAGCGGCACGACGGAGGGGATGCGAGTGGTGGTATTTCATTTGAATAAATGCTTCCGCTTTGAACTAAATTTGGATGTTATTGCATTATTATTGACTATTGTTTTTCTAGTATTGGATTATTGATAGGGATTATTTCCCTAGGATCATTATTGGATTATTGATTGATTATTGGGATTTTCTTTTTGATTATGAGTATCGATAATTGCCGAATATTGAGAAAATGCCGAGTATTGATTATTGATTTGAAAATGAGTAGCGCCTCGAATATTGTTTTTGAAATAAATTCAAAAAATTTATTCTGATTTTTCGGTAAATAAAAGTGGGGCGTTACACTAAGTGTTAGGCCCGAATGTTCCAATGTCCACGGAACTTCACGAACTACTTGGTTGAATCAAGTTCGACCAATGTATGCTTGTGATTGTTCTCTAAGGTCAAGTAGATGTTGATCTTAGTATATAATTGTTGTAGGTGTTTGACGAGCCGTTCTCGCTGCCTACTCCCGATTGTGTGCCATTTTCCTTTGCTGTACCAGGTGGCTTTTAATCTAAAATTTTATATGCCGTATGTGTTTATTATAATGTTGATTTGGTATAATTTTAGTATGTACGTAAACCATGTAGCCTATCGGCGTGAGCCGATTCGGCCGTCGGTACGGTTGTCCCCGTCGATGTAATACTGTTACCTTGCGAGGTAAGTCTCCGTAAGACCTAATGAAAGGTCGTGCCTTGTCGCACGTACTCCCATGAGTTAGGGTAATGAATCCCCTTTCCTTGGATAATGAAAGATGTGTACACGTGGGTATTATGTTGTGATGTGATTAGGAGATGTGACAGAATAATTGTTTTATGTTCATACTGTAACCACACCTTCTCTTCATAATTTATGTTGTGATATATGTGCATAGTGGTGAGCACGCTTTTCATCTTGTGCTCATCCCCACATGCTCTTCACCGATGCAGGTTAAGCAGGAGCAGGGTGACGAGGAGAGGCGAGTGGGTCGGTCATCATGTTATGCATTTATTGCTTCCGTAGAATAATTAAGGCTTTTATGGACCTTTATGTGAAAACTTGTTTAAAACCTTTTTCCGAAACGTAAGACTTGTTTGTTTTTGGAAAACTTGTGGAACCCTGATGTTGGGTGTGATGGTATGGTTTTAGTATATTCATGTTTGAGAATTATGTCTCACGTTATGCTTTGGTTAATGAAAATCATTCGTGAAAACTGGGTAATGAATCCCCGTGGACCCAGATAAGACTTGGGTTACAAAATATGTTGTTTAAGAACCATTAGATTTCGAAAGTGATCTCGAAAATTTTATACTGATTTTTGGAAAGTCCGAAATTTCTATAAAATCAAAGTGGGGTGCCACAGTTTGGTATCAGAGCCAGTTTGTGTTTCTGTAGACTGGTTCATATGTGGTTATGTGTTTAGACCTTGTAATATGACCACTCGTCTCCGTCACTCTGCGCTGCTTAAGGTATGTTTTGTTTAAGTATTAATGGAAATACTTAATATGTAAATGATACACACAATGAAACTACTTGTGATGAACTTGTGATTTGGGGCTTAGGATCTATCCACCTTGATTTTATCGAACTCTAGTGCTTATTGGCGAACTCTAGACTTCTGTAATATTAATTATATTTCAGCTTATTCAATGTAGAAGCATGAATACCCGCAACAACCGTAATCGTCAGCCATCTCCGCAACCTTCTCCTCCTCGTCAGCACTTGGCCCCTCCGGCCATGGACCTTACTCAGCTTATCATTCAGTTTCAGAGGATGAATGCACCAACCTTTGCGGGGACTGAGAACCCCACAGCGGTGCTAGAGTGGATCAAAGAACTGGACAAGATCTTCACTGTACTTCCCTTCCCTGACCGTCAGCGGGTATCCCTTGCAGCTTACCAGATGAAGGAGGATGCTTCCGACTGGTGGATTGACCACTGGGCTCGGAGGCCAGAGGCGGAGCTCCATGCACTCTCTTGGAAGCAAATGAAGATGATGGTGCGCAGCAAGTTCCTTCCCCAGAGCTTTTGGGACAGGATGGAGCATGAGTTCTACCATTTGCAGCAGGGCAGCTCCACAGTGGATGAGTATATCTGCACTTTCACCCGAATGTGCCTTTTTGCGGGCGACGCAGTGAACACCGATGCCAAAAAGGCCCGCAAGTTTCTCAAGGGGCTCAACCAGAGGATCCGTGAACTGGTGGGAAGTCACAGACTGATGTCCTATGCAGATACCGTGAGTAGGGCTCAGGAGGTTGAGAGCTGTCTCATTCCATTGGCTCCAGTTCCTTCTTATTATCATGCTTCCCAGCCTACTCAGACCGTTGTCGGGCAAGAGGAAATCCGACTTCCAGAACAAGAAGAAAGGAAAGAAAGGGAATTTCGATAGGCGCGACAATCGATCCTCCACTGGCCAAGCCTGCCCGAAATGTGGTAGATCCCACAGCGGTGAGTGCCTAGCTAGCCAGCGCACTTGTTTCAACTGCAACCGCCCGGGACACTATGCCAATGTTTGTCGTGAGCCCAAGAGGCAGCAGTAGTTTCCTCCGCAGCAGCAGCAGCTTCCCCCACCGCCACCTCATCAGCAGCAGCAG